CGCCCGCCGCTCTCTTGCCCTCTTTCCTTGCCCCTTGCCCCCCCCCCCCCTGCTGTCTCTCGGCTTGTCGCTGATCTCTGGCCTTTTATGCTCGCCCCTCCCTCCCACCGGCTCACCCGCCGGCCCCGTCTCATCACGCAGGCCAGACCCCCCAGAACATCTTCCGCGCGTCGACCTTCGGCCCGGAGGACAAGCTCACCGCCTTTGACATCCCCCTGGCCCAGAGGTGCGACGCTCCCCCCTCTCCATCCCCCCCCGCCATTTTCGTCCCTCCGCCTATGCCTCTCCTCCCACCCGGTCCCGGCCCCGGCCCCGGCCCTGGCCCCGGCCCCGGTCCCGGCCCCGGCCCCTGGTGCAATTGGCTGACCATCCGCCTGCAGCGAGCTCGGCCGCCCCGGGACCTTCATCCACAAGTATACCCAGTCGCCGGATGGCCAGTTCCTGGCCGCGATCACCCCCACGGCGGCCGTCGTGGTCAACACCGCCACCGGGGCCACTCACCTGTCCGAGGCGGACGTCTGCACGGATGTGTACTTCTCGCCGACCGGCCGGTTTGTGGTCATCCACGGGCAGTTCTCGGCCGGCGCCAAGAATGTCAAGATCTTCGACATGCAGGCCACCTGCCCGGAGAGCAGGCTGGCCTTTGCCTTCGGCCAGTCGGCCAGTCTGGCCGATGTCAGCTGTCGGCGCGTGAGCTGGACCCAGGCCGACACCACCTTCCTCCGGATGAACGGCCGCGAGCTCCTGGTCTACACCATGGGCCTCGATGAGGCCACCGGCCAGGTGTCCTTCGCTCAGACCTCCTCCTTCACCGATCCCGGCCTGACGACCTTCGCCGTGGCCCACTCGCGCGAGACCACCGGTCCCTGCTATGTGGCTGTCTACTGCCGCGGTGTCAAGGGTCGTGCCTCCACCGTGCGCATCTACCAGGTCGGCAGCTGGGTCAACCCCATCAGCACCCGGAGCTTCTTCCACGGCGAGACCTGCGAGCTGGTGTGGGACCCGCGTGGTATGGCCTTTGCTCTCTCCCTCCCTCCATCTCCCTCCCTCTCTCTCCCTCCCTTTCTCCCTCCCTCCCTCTCTCTCCCTCCCTCTCTCTCTCCCTCCCTTTCTCCCTCCCTCCCTCTCTCTCCCTCCCTCCCTTTCTCCCTCCCTCCCTCTCTCTCCCATGCGTGCCTTTTGCCGGTGGCTTG